GTTAGCTGCGACTGTGGTGGCTTCTGTTGCTGCTCCTGCTGCTGCTGGCAAGAGTGCAGCACGCATAGACTTTTGAAACGCGTTCTCGAGTCGAAACCTTCCGTGGAATTCACCAGAATAAAATTGAAAAAAATCTCTCTCCGTTTTGAAAAAAGTTACGTTTGAGTTTTTTTGTCGTGCTGTTTAAGTTTGTACATTAGTTGCTATTTTTTTGTTATTTTTTTTGTTGTTATTGTTAATATGATCGCTGGGAAATCACGAGAGGCGGCATGTGTGCTCATCGCGGTGTTGGCTTTGTTCAGTCACAATGAAGGTAAGGGCTCGGATCTGTAAACAGTTTTAGTTTTAGTTAAAAGAGCGCATGAATGAAAGAGCTTGTTTTAGAACGATACACGTAAATATATATTAATCGTTATTTTATTTAATCGGGCAACCATCGAGTGCCCAACAATATTAATCCCGTAAAGTATAATATCATTCTGTCCAGCATGTGTTACGCTTTATTGCAGGGTAGTAGACTTTTATTCGAGCTGTAAAGACAAGATTATAGACGAATAATTACTTTTAAATGGGCTATTTAACTTGGGCACCACTTCGTTGTAAGTTATCAGTGGTCTTCCTTTGGATCAGTGGGTCTTTCGATGGGTATAACCGTCCCCGTCATATGAATGTGGAATTTCCACCACTTTGCTCCGAGCTGACAACGAACGTGACCACTGCCCCCACGCTCATTTGGGGATGCGATGACAAGAGTTTGACACTCGATCGAGATTTCGAACGGTTGGTGCACGATCATTTACGTTACGGGCAGGATAGACTCATCATCATCATCTCTCTCTCTGGTGGTCGGTAAATTGACAAGCACCGAGACGAGCCATCACGCGATAAAAACTAAATCGAATATTTAAACGAGGCACACAATAAGAGGACATGTGTTTGCTCCTTCTTCGGAAGTATTTGATTGTGTGACAGTAACGGTCGCGCTCGTGTAGGGCGAACAGGAAGCGGTATAGGGTCCGAAAATAAACTGAAACTATTTTTTTCTCTTCTTGGTTCTTTCGGTAAAGTCACGTAGAAGGGAAGTAATAAAATAATAAAAATAAAACATAATAAAATCAAATAAATATCACGACGTTTCGGCTACAACGCAAGCAGCCGTCTTCAGGTGAAGAATGAGACACTGTCAAGCTAGGAGCTTATATATAAGCTGGGTTGGAGGTGGAAGAAGAAGATGAATCCCTGCAGTCACGAAAGCTTTAAATCGAAATAAAACTATTTTATTTTAAATTTCAATTTAAAGCTTTCGTGACTGCAGCGATTCATCTTCTTGGTTCTTTCGGTAAAGTCACGTAGAATGGAAATGATAAAATAATAAAACATAATAAAATAATATAAAATAACATAAAAAAAACATAATAAAATAATTCTCACATTTTATTTTATTTGACCAGGTAAAGCCCACTGAGCTGTATAGCTCTTTTTCAGAAGCGACCTGGTCACAATTGATAGCGCAACGAAGTGGCTTTTTGTCGTGTGGAAATGTACAGCGGCCAAATAACTCTAAACGCACGCTGAGTCTAAACACGCGGGGAAAACCCGCGACCACGGGGAGAGAGACACGCAAACTCCAAATAATCAAGCATCGTCTGGGCCGGGATAGAACCCATGAACCTCCTGCATACCAGGCGAGGGAGTTAACATCTCCCTAGCCACCGCAGCGCTCGCGACAAGACGACGAGGCTCGGGTAGTGTGGGGGAGCTCTGCCCACGAGGGTCCGGACCTTCCCTTTGATCAACGTGGCCGATATCCAACACCAGCAAGACGGCACAACTCTGCACTGAAGTCTCGCTCGTTTTGGATCAGCTCTCTCTACGAGATTTATCGCGGCACCACCGCACCACCACGTGACAGACAGAGGCACGGAGCGAACGCATCAACCATTTGAAGCTTAGTTGGAAAGCAGCGTTGACAATCAATTGAAGTTGCACTCCCCCCTGTCGCCATCGGGTTAAAAGAACGTGTATGCATGTTGAACTTCTTTCGCACCGTACGTAGCCAACAGTGGTTGTTATCTGCACCGGCGGCAGGGCACCACTGCTCGCAAGTCCACTCCACGTTCCCATGCCGGGAGGTGGCGTGAGGCTACGCAGCCGCATCCATTGTTGTCATGCACTGCGCTCCTTCGTCTATGTGTCACCGGTTATACCACGCCGTGCACTCACTACCGCAGCCACAGTTCAGTGCCATGGGCCGCAGCTGACGGCAGCGGCGAGCGATACTCTGAGCCGGTCCTGGGCCACCCATCCACCCACCTCTCTCTCTCTATCCGGTACTGACCAACGTGGTGAAGTATGGTCAACCATACAATGCCCCCCCCCCCCGCCATGACTGGACACAGCGTAGGGAGGCCATCATCCAGCAGTGGATGAACACGAGGGCGTTAACGCATCATAGGAAGGGCAAGCCAAACTAGAGACCGAACGCGCATCCCGAATGCTGAGCAACTTATTTGGTGAATTGATTTGGTGAATTGACTTGGTGAATTGATTTGGTGAATTGATTTGGTGAATTGATTTGGTGAATTTATTTGGTGAATTGACTTGGTGAATTGATTTGGTGAATTGATTTGGAGAACCTGATGCTGCGTTGGCAGTGGTGCACAAGAACAATCAACAACAAGCGAAACGTCGTACTCAAAAATTGTAAATGTTGTGGTTTCACTCTTCAACACACCGGTGGGCTAAAGTAGTGAACTATTTGTCTTTTGTCAACGTGACACTATTTTTGCTGATTGGCCGTGTCGGGTGGTGGAGGGTTACGACACATTTATGAATAACGCGATCTAACCCAACAACCTTTATTATGAAGCAACAACAAGTCAAGACGGTGGCGAGATGTTATTTCCCTCGCCTGGCATGCAGGAGGTCGTGGGTTCGATCACGACCCTGACGCCTGCTGCTGTACATTTGGAGTTTGCGGTGTCTCTCTCTCGCCGTGGTCGTGTGGATATGAATCAATAATGTGAATCAATAATCAGAACATTAATCAATGATGTAAATCAATATTAAGAACATGAATCAATAATGTGATTCAATAACGTGAATCAATGTTTCGTTGGTTCTCAATCGAACTTCATAAACGACAGATTGGAGGTGACCCCGCAGAGGGAGAAGAAAAGGAATATTAATAATGATACGAGATCAAATATAAACTTAGTGAATGAAATCGATTTAAAACTTTTCATTCCAGTGTTAACATAAATGAAATAACACGATGTCTCCTGGCGTTTGGGCCACTCCGTATACACCATGAGTACTGATAAGAATAACCAATTTAAAACGACTGACCGATGAACACTTTAAAATTGTCATCGGAAAAATTACCAATAACTTAACTCTTGGCTCGCGTACAAAGCACCCTTTGTTAATCACCATCGCATTGCACGTGCCCCCCACCCACCTCCTCGCTCTCTCTCTCTCTCAGTGTGTGCGCAAGAGTGTGGGGGCGTACGGACGTCGAGCCTCGGCACCATCAACTCACCGGGTTACCCGGTCGCGTACGAGTCGGCGCAGGACTGCAGATGGGTCATCTCCCTGCCCAGGGGCCCCATCGCGCTCATCTTCATTCCGCCGTTCCGTCTGGGTAACGTCTACGGCCAGGGTCGTCCCTGGGGTGATGGTTGCGCAGGGTCCGGGGGGAAGTGACACTGCGTGTGCCCCCCAACCTCTCCGCTGCCACCCCCCCCCCCGACGCTTTCAAACTAAACTCGAAGCGATAAAACGTTGCAGGCTAGAATAAATGCGTTGCGTGCACACAAAGACAAAGATCCCCCCGTGTAGCCTCAACAGACTGTAGGGGCAAGTGCTGTTAGCGAGCACATATGAAGGCCGGCACGGCACACGAGGGGATGGGTGGCCAACACCACGCCCGGTCGCCTTTGTCTCCCCAGTGGCGATGCTTACACATCGCACCAGCTACTCATTTGAGGCTGAGTCGACGTAGGGGAGGCCCAGGACCGATTCAGATAATCGTCACCGGTGTTCGCCGTGAGCGGGAATCGAACTCGGGTCGCCAGGTTCGTAGCGTAGCGCTAACCGCTACACTACCGCTCCCACAGAGATACAAAAATAAAGATCCCCCGTATAACCTTAACAGACTGTAGGGGAAAGTGCTGTTAGAATCAAGGCTGCAGTAAAAAGTTTCGAACCGCTGGTCTGGTCTATGGAACGCATTGCTGTTCGCCCGTTATCTACGGAACGGCCATGACTACGATGTCTGCTCTCTATAAGATGTGAGCTACTATTGCTCAGTCTCTGGGTGAGCGCCTACACTGCCCCATTCTCTCTCTAACCCATTGCTTTTCGCCCGTTATCTACGGAACGGACATGACTACGATGTCTGCTCTCTATAAGATGTGAGCTATTATTGCCCATTCTCTGGGTGAGCTCCTATTGTCCATTCTCTGGGTGAGCACCCACTCTGCCCAATTCTCTCTCCAAGCCTACGGAACCCATTGTTGTTCGCCCCCTCTCCCCTATTGTTCGTCTCGCCGTGTGCCCCGCGGCCGTGCGCAGAGGCGGAGCCGACGTTCTGCCAGTTCGACAGCCTCTCGCTCTGGAACGGCGGCCTGTCCTCCGTGGGCCGGCAGGACTCGCTGCTCGCCAAGTACTGCGGTCAGTAAGGCACTTGGATGCCGCGCTTTGGGAAAAGAGAACTTGGAGGCGAGGGCCACGGAATTGAATTTGAGACGACGACAACAACAACAAACACGTGAAGATCAGTTTAACACGTGTAGGCTTTCGCGACCAATATTATTCATGATCAACGTTTTTGGGTTTAGATCGCGTTATTTATAAATGTGTCGTAACCCTCCACCACCCGACACGGCCAATCAGTAAAAAAGTTATTTCGGTAAAGTCACGTAGAATGGAAATAATAAAATAATAAAACATAATAAAATAATTTTCACGACGTTTCTGTCTTCTCGACAGCTCTGTTCTTCACCTGAGGACGGCTGCTTGCGTTGTGGCCGAAACGTCGTGAGAATTATTTAATGTTTTATTTTTATTATTTTATTATTTCCATTCTACGTGACTTTACCGAAAGAACCAAGAAGATGAATCCCTGCAGTCACGAAAGCTTTAAATCGAAATTTACGCTTAGGTTAATAATATTAAGGAAACACAGTGTAGTTATCGATGAGTGCGTTTGAGTTTGTTATCTGTACATGTGCACGACGGCTAACGCAGCAGCATCGATCATCAAACATCACCATCACGAGATAATAAAATACAAAATTAATTTAAAACGACCAACATTGTGAACACGTGATGTGATTTGCCAGAGCGACCTCCAGCGAGGAGCACCCTCCATGGGTGCTCGCTGACGACACTTGCCCCAAATGCCTGTGAAGGCTATACGGGGCATCTTTGTCGCTGTTGTGTATGATCGACAATGGAAGTGTCTCTACATGTCAACGTGACACTAAAGCCGAATGAGAGCTGGCAACTGCTGGTGAGTGTCGTTGGAGCGTTCTTCCTGTGGACCCCATCACAAGGCTCAGTGACGACTGCGGCATGTCTGCCTCTGTCTCTCTGCGTGTCTCTCTGTCTCTCTCTCTGTATCTCTCTGTCTATCTGTGTCTCTCTGTCTCTGTGTTTCTCAGTCTCTCTGCGTGTCTCTCTGTCTCTCTCTCTCTGTATATATGTGTATCTCTCTGTCTATCTGTGTCTCTCTGTCTCGGTGTCTCTGTGTTTCTCAGTCTCTCTGTGTGTCTCTCTGTGTCCCTCTCTGTATCTCTGTTTCTCTGCGTCTGTGTCTCTCGGTTTCTCTTTATCTCTGTCTCTCTCTGTCTCTGTCCCTCTGTGTCTGTCTCTCTGTCTGTCTCTGTCTCTGTATCTCTGCCTCTCTCTGCCTCTGTCTCTCTGTCTGTCTCTCTGCGTCTCTGTCTCTGTGTCTCTCTGTCTCTATCTCTGTCTCTGTATCTCTGTCCCTGTATCTCTCTCTCTCTCTCTCTCTGCGTCTCTGCGTCTCTGTCTATGTGTCTCTCTGTATCTCTCTCTGTATCTCTGTCGCTGTCTCTCTCTCTCTGTGTCTTTCTGTCCGTGCGACAGGCGACAACTCCCCGGGCACGTTCATCGCCCCGGAGAGGGAGGTGACGCTGCAGCTGCTCACGGATGCCACCGTCACGGACATCGGATTCTGCCTCTGCTACGTGGGGGGCGGAGAAGGTGAGAGGAGGAGGAGGAGGGGGGGAGTGGATAAGGTGAGAGAGGGGGAGAAATTTGCGGGGGAGGGGCGAGTGGCGGCGAGTAGGGGGTGGGGGGGAGAGAGTGGGATTAGGGGGTGGGGGGGGGGATGTCGTACCTGTGAAACGAAAAAAGGAATTCGAGGGTAGGAGCATTGCCAAAGCGTCAGAGGCCGGTCGCGCTCGGGTTAGGGTCAGGGATAAAGGTTAGTGGCGTCAGGATCTGATTGGCTACAGCGGTTAGAGTGGTTGTGCGTCGGGTTACGTGTGGGTGGTGTTCCCTGCGAGTCGTTTCAACGCAACACGTGGGATTTTGCGAAGCTAACGCAATGAGTCCGTATGGGTGTGTTCTGTGTTTGGGTGACGCCACGTGGTCGCAGTTTTTTTCCCCGTCAAATTTCTTGTCACGATCCCTCCACCATCCGACAAGATTTGTGACGTGTACAAATGTTGTTGTTATTATTATTATTGATTCGTGCCGATTTATTGATACATTTCTGACCAATAAGGCCACGGTGTTATTGGCGAATGTGTTAGTTGTTGTTGTTGTTGACTGGGAACCATTCCCAACGCAACATCAGCAGCATCACCAAATGGGCGTGTTTCAGATTGATTCCTAGGCTCATATAATACATGTGTCCAATCACGTGTATAATAACCCACGAAATTTCGATTCGTATTCATTGTATGTAATGGGGTTTTGTCAGGATTAAATTTTATGGATTGCTTAAAAATGTTCACGATGGAATTCAATGTCACGGCACGACGAGGCTTCTGTGAAACCGCTGCGAGCGTCATGAGCGAGTGAGTGAAGCTACTGCACCAGCTGAGCCTCAAGTCTGCAACTTCTTCCCATCGCTCCTACAGATCCGTCGAGGTGTCCTCCAGACTGCACTCTGAGAACCACAACGTCTACCACGACCACAACAACAACCACCACCACCACTACAACTACAACCACTACGACCAGACCTACCACCACCACCACTACGACCACTACGACCAGACCGACCACCACCACCACCACTACAACCACTACGACCAGACCTACCACCACCACAACAACCACTACCACCACCACGCCTCCTCCCACAACCACCACCACTACGACCACTCGCCCCACCACCACCACCACCACTCGTCCCACCACCACCACCGCTGTCGCTACGACTACAACGACACCCACCAGCTCAGCGCCGCAGAATGGTGAGTGGCACAAGGGGGGTAACAACAGCGGTGGCTGAAGGTGGCACACGGCGGTGATGATGGCATTTCTGACAACGTTTGCCTCTGTTGTTGGGGCGCTGCGGTGGTGAGATGTTAACTACCTCGCCTGGTATGCAGGAGGTCGTGGGTTCGATCCCAACGCTGACGCCTGCTGCTGTATATTTGGAGATTGCATGTCTCTCTCCTCGTGGCCGAGTGGATTTTTCTCCGGCTCATCCAATTGGCTGCTATACATTTCCACGTGATAAGCCGCTTCGTCGAATTATCGCTTCTGAAAAAGAGCTATATAGCTGAGTGGGCCTTACCTGGTGAAATATGAAGAGTTTTAATTGAATGCGTATTGTTTTATTGGGCCTTTAATCAAATCTTGCTGACGCTGGAACCCAGACAGGTTTGTTGCAAAAGTTGCGGGTTTCCTCTCCGACACACAACCGGTGGTGCTGAAGCAGCGACTAATTGGCGCGTTCTGTTTCCGTGACAAACCTTACCGATTGCCTGTGCCCGGCGGTGGTGGGTTATCGACGCATTTATATTTACTGCGAACTGACTAACACCCCCCCCCCCATATTATGAATAATATTGGTCGCGTAAGCTGACGTTGTTAAACTAAATTGTTGACTGCGCTGAGAGTAATTAAGTCGCTCCACACAGCATCTCAGCATTGCCGGCTCAGTGACCTGACCCCTGACCCCTGAGCCACCGCGAGCATTGAATCGTTGCATTGATCGCGCCACGATGATGATAATTACGATGACACAATTTCCACGTTGACACTGCCGATAACTGTCATGTCAAACCAATGATGATTCACATAATGATTATGCATACGCTTTGGTTCATTCGGCTAAAGTCACGTAGGTAGAATAAATATAGATCACGACGTTTCGATCGCCACGCAAGCAGCGGTCCTCAGGTGGAATTAGGCCGATTGCTTGTGTGGCGATCGAAACGTCGTGATCTATTATTTTTCTACCTACGTGACTTTAACGAAAGAACCAATGAGTATGGATTCCTGCAGTCACGAAAGCTTCAAATCATCATTATTATGATTTTGCCACATTAACCTAAGGATGATAGTACGATACCGTAATTGTAGGTTTTTACCCTTTCAACTGGTACAAAAACTGACACCTTTATACAAGGGATCATATTTGCAATAACCACAACACAAGCAGTCAAAATGCAAACAAATAGAAACAACTCTGATAATGATAAGCACTGTCCTTGAAGTTGATTGGTCCACACCCGAGACAGCTTTTCTTAGAGCCTAGTCATCAACTTCAAGGACAGTGCATATCATATCATTATCAGAGTTGTTTCTTTTTGTTTGCATTTTCACTGCTTGTGTTGTGGTTATTGCAAACATGATCCCTTGTATAAAGGTGTCAGTTTTTGTACCAGTTGAAAGGGTAAAAACCTACTATTATATTTTGGTAAAGGAGGTCTCATAGTGATACCGTACTTCTCTAGTTTCCATAACGACGATGATGCTGACGACGACGTTAATACCGCAAGCCAATGTCATTCCCTGGCACCGCGCATCCTCTGGCCCAGGCGTCATGGAGTGGATCATGACCACGCTGGCCCCAGCCTCCGTGGGCTTCGCCACGGGCCTCCTCCTCACCGCCACCGTGTGCGCCCTCGTCTGGGCGCACGTCAAGAAGCGGAAAATGCGACGCAAAATCCTCAGCGGCGGCGGCGGCGTCGTCACCGTCGCTCAGAACAACGGCGATTCGCAGACGCGGCAGCATCAGCAGGAGCAGCAGCATCAGCATCATCGGCAGCATCGGCAGGAGCTGCCCGTGCCACCGCCGCAGGGCCCGACCCCTCCGGATGGACTTCCCCCCGGCGCCTCTCAGCCTCAGCGTGGGCCCACAGCCTCCAGGTGGCCCCGCGGAGCGGACCATCGCGACGGCCTGCGCGCGGGCGAGTTTGCGGAGGCGAGGGCCGGCGAGACGTGGCGGGGCTCGTGGGGGCCACTCGGAGACCGCGCGAGCGGCGCCGGGCTCGGCGGCGTCGTCGCCTCCGGCGCCCAGAGCGTCGCGTCCACTCGCCGCTCCTCGCTCGCCGGCCAGCGGGAAGCGAGCGCTCGCGGCTCGCCAGGGCCTTGGGGCGGCCACGTCAACCGCGGCCACGGCGGAACGACGGCGGCGGCGTCGTCGAGTGTTCGGAGCCAGGGGCCGGATCGGTGGGCGCGCTGGGTCGATGCCGGAGGGCCGGCGTCGGGGCAGGAGTGGATGGGCGCGGGGAGCCCGGGGGACTCGGAGCGGGGTGGGCGGTGGCGGGAGGCGCGGGGCGGCGAGGTCGAGGTGGAGAATGTCGGGGGTCACGGCAGCCTGCGGGGTCACCGCGGAGGAGCCGGGGATTTCGCGGAGATGCGGCGAGCTCGGGGCGTCGGCATCCACAGGACACCCAGCCAGACGGGTCTGGAGTTTGTCTAGTAGTTGTTAAAATCTCCCGTTGTTTTATTTCGGGTTTTGCTTTTTTTTGTTACCTTCTCAATTGTCGTGTTTTTTTGTTTTTTTCGATCCGTGCGATCGGGCGCCGTTTTTTTTTTCGTGTTGCCCCGAGACGAAGGAATGTCCGTCGTGAACTCTGGCGGAGAAAAGGCCCCCCTCCTCGAACGATGACATAACACGTTGCCATTGTGAACGGCTGCAGTGAGCAGTGCACCACCTTGCATCACAGAACTACGTGTGAGCCACGTGGCCAGGGGAGAGTGGATAGCGGGGCCGGTGGATCCCGCAGAGATCATCATCGTCATCATCATCACGATCCATGGACACATATCCCGTAGGTGTCCACTGCCACATTTCGTCATTTGTTGTTTCCACTTTCATCTGTCTTGTGCCAATATGCTCAAGTAGCGGCCACATTTGTCCGACACCAAATCTCTCATGCCATCGTCGTCAAGCCACTCTCTGTTAGCTCTTCCTCTCCTCCTTCCGGTTCCTTCCATTTGTTTTCCCAACAACAACAACAACAACACTTTCAATGCGTTGTTCGGATTCGCGCGTAAACCCCAAACCAACCCACCGTTAAGGACGCGCGCGTAAACCCTGACATGGCGCCGTCACGCCAAGCAAGTGGAGTGGCGCGCGTGGAGACACCCAACCTGCAGTAGCAGGCCGGCGGTGCACGTGATGAGGCAGGATATAGCGCACGGGTTGTTGTCATGCCCGTGCCATCTTGGGGAGTGTTATAACCGCTGGAAAGTGTTTGGTGTTTTTTTTTTGCAACGTCCGGCACCCCGGTTGCCTCCCACTCGCAGAATCGATCGTGAAAATAACTCGATAAACAACCCCGAGTGTGATCTTCCTGGAAACAAATGAGAGTTAATAGACTGGGCGAGGATTTCCCGGGTAAACAGTCAATACTTTGTATGATATATTATGTATTTGTGTGTGTATATATATATACATCAAATGGCTAGTGTTGTTGGAATTATTCACCCTCCCAGCAATTGGACAAATCGTTACGATTCGCGGTCACGATTCGATTTGTTTTTGTTTTTCAAATATTTATTGGTGAATTGGTAGCGATGATGTAGACCGGGGCGTGATGCCTCGCTGAGTGTTTTCCGGGTCGCTGGTAAAATGGGGAGTCGGTGGCTGTAGTTGTAGCCACACCCTTAGGTAGACGCATACTGGGTGTGGTGTGCCGGGTGCCGAGATATCTGTCGGGTCAATGACATGGCAGCAATTGAACCCATACGTAACGCCCGTTACATACAATACTGCATATATAAATAATCGAAAAACAGAGATTATTAACAAAACCTATTTGGAAGATGCTGCTGCTGTTGTGCTGGCAGTGGTGCCTCGGCACCGACAACACCACCACCACCAACAACAACTAAATACATTGGCCAATAACACCGTGGCCTTAATAGGAAATATAATTTTTCGATTGGAAGCTTTCGTGATTGCAGGGATTCATCTTCTTGGTTCTTTCGGTAAAGTTACTGTAGAAGGGAAATAATAAAATAATAAAAATAAAACATAATAAAATAATTCTCACGACGTTTTGGCCACAACGCAAGCAGCCTTCCTCAGGTGAAGAACAGGTCTGTCGGGAAGACAGCGTCTGAATGAAACACCCCAGGCTTGGAGCGTATAATAGATTTCTGTTTATATGATTGTGGTTATGGTTGTACTTTATTAATCCCGAATCTCTGCCATTACATACAATGAAACAAAAAAGGTTAAAAGAGAAAAAACAGAGCAATGTAATACAATACACTACTAGACATTATTGTTAAAAAAAATAGTCCACCCTATGTGTTCGTGAATTTTTTAATATTTCAGGCAGGAAATGGTAGGAAATGAGTTTTCAAATTTCGATTTTATTTTCTGGGGGGGGGGGGACCCCCACACCCCCTGAAAGATTTGGTCCCCCTCAATGTTGATTCCATAGCTACGGCCTTGAACAGGCCCGTACTATTGCTCAGTTTGATCCGTATTGCAATTGAATGACGATGTTCGTTACATAATACTCTTTTTGACGTGTCTCTGAAGCATACATCAAATGAACGTTTGCTATAACTCTCAGTGTATAAATGTATTATGGGGTGGGGGGCAGAGTGGTGGAGCAGCGGTTAGCGCACTGCGCTGTGAATCTGGCCACCTGAGTTGAATTCTGGGCCACGTCTATCATCCGTGGCGAGAGATACCTGAACCAGTCCTGCCCACCCCCACCGTTCACCGATCTGCACTGACCAGCGTGGTGAATTATGGTGAACCAATCCATAATAATAATTTTTAAAAAGACAGTGCCTTGATCCAGCAGTGGATTGATAAAGTGACGTTATCATTGTTTTTACAAGTGATCAATCGTATCTGGCCGGGTGGCACGGCCGCAGAATGTGACGCTCGAAAATTAGAAAATTCCAAGTTCAACTTCACAGTCAGAGATCGACTCAGTTCTTCAATCCTGCATGGTCGATAAAATGAGTACCGCCATGTGGGGGAAGTCAACAATGATTGCGCTATCTGACTACTCGCCACTGTAATGTGGAATTGCCACCACTGGCTCAGAGCTGCGGGCAGGGGGACGAGTGTTCATCCCACAATGCAATCGAGCAGAACTCCACTTTGACTCTTTGAGTTACAATGTAATGAAGCTTATCGTACATTTAGAAAATTCTTCTCTATATATATAATTTTTTCGTAAATCAAGGCTCAGGTCAATAATTTACTTGCCAATTTACTTGATAATTCATCCGATGCGCGGTGATAAGAGGAGGAATGTTGCGGGTCCTAATTACCCGCGAGGTCGTCCAGAGATTTTGTTTTGGACTCCACAGACCCACCGGAAATGATCCCAATCGCAGACAAAGAGGGAGAATGAGGCTGCGCGAATATCGGGGGAGTTTTCGCTGCGGATACGATCGATTTTGCGGATAATCAGAGTCCGGGGGTAATGGATTAGAAAGGCGAGCCCCCGTGTCGAACCACCGAATTAAACCTTCTTGGTTCTTTCGGTAAAGTCACGTAAAAGGGAAATAATAAAATAATAAAAATAAAACATAATAAAATAATTCTCACGACGTTTCGGCCACAACGCAAGCAGCCGTTCTTACGTGACTTTACCGAAAGAACCAAGAAGATGAATCCCTGCAGTCACGAAAGCTTTAAATCGAAATTTAACCACCGAATTAAACTTCAACTGTATCTCAAGTTGCTTGTAAAGCGTAAATTGAAAGAAAGCGCCTTTTAGGATGTGCACATTCACAGCGAGAGGCATGCATTTCCATGTACGACTTGTGCATAACGCTTCCAAGTAATGTTCCTATATATGTGAATTGCTTTTGATTGCATGTTTACACGTGTGCATTGTTTTTTTCTGATTTCAAACAACGATTTTGCAAGTATTTAAATATTTCTCTAAGCCTTCCCCACTGATGCATGTGTACGGTTTTGTAACAATGTAATAAAGATATATTGTATATGTAACGTGCAAAGTGCTTTAAAAAAGGGTAGTTAATGATAATGGTCAGGACATATTCTGAGCCTAATCACCATCATCAGCAATAGCAGCAGCAATGAAGATCTGAGTCTGGTCGGTAGTTCTCACGAAAATGCGAAATGTAATCAGGTAGAAGACACAAGTAAGTTTAGCAACACATGGTATGTTGAACTTCTTTGCACCTTACTTAGGCAACTGAGCTATTCGGTAGCTAGGAGATGTTAACTACCTCGCCTGGTGTACAGGAGGTCGTGGGTTCGATCCCGACCCTGACGCCTGTTGCTGTATATTTGAAGTTTGCGTGTCTCTCCATCATCATCATCACGGTGGCTAGGAGATGTTAACTACCTCGCCTGGTATACAGGAGGTCGTGGGTTCGATCCCGACCCTGATGCCTCCTGCTGTATATTTGGAGTTTGCGTGTCTCTCCCTCTCATCATCATCACGGTGGCTAGGAGATGTTAACTACCTCGCGTGGTATACAGGAGGTCGTGGGTTCGATCCCGACCCTGACGTCTCCTGCTGTATATTTGGAGTTTGCGTGTCCACTCTCCCCGTGGTCGCGTAGATTTTTCTCCGAGTCCACCGGTTTTTCTCTCCACATTTAGAATCAACATCACGCGTTCAGAGTGATTTGGTTGCAAACAATTTCCACGTGGCAATAAGCCACTTCGTTGAGCTTATCAATTGTGGCCAGGTCGCTTCTGAAAAAGAGCTGCATAACTCAGTGGGCCTTACCTGGTAAAATAAAAAAATATTTTATTAATAGTTTAATCAAAGGTGCAACTAAAAGGTGTGGAGAATAAGGGTGATCAGGGTGATGAGTTCCAGGGTTGAGTAACGCGATGTGTGAAAGAGGAATTCCTCGAATCTTGATTTGAAGCTTTCGTGACTGCATGAATCCATACTCTTTGGTTATTTCGGTAAAGTCACGTAGGTATTCTAGATTTGAAGCTTTCGTGACTGCAAGGATTCATATTCTTAGTTTTTTTTTCACGTAGGTATACCTACTATATGGAGTTCCTAGAGTTAAGCAGAATTGGTACATTTTCTTCAATTACGCATGTGCTGCCTTTGATTTTAACCCGCCGACCATCCAAATGCACAGAGGACGCTCCTACAAGAGAGTCTGCCCCCGGACTCTCAGTGAGGATTTCCTCGCGGAATAAATTTCGGTTCTCGTCCCACGTTCGCCGTTGCATGATCCACCCATCATCATCCTCCCCCTCCTCTGCTGGGCCACTTCAGAGTCGCAGCCCAGCACGTGGGTTGGCGTGGAGTTTCGCAAATCCGAACAACACATTCAAAGTGTGTTGTTGTTCTTAAATTTGGAGCTGTCGTGACTGCAGTAATTACTCTTTGGTTCTTTCGGTAAAGTCACGTATAAAGATAAAATAATAAATTAAGTAATTATTATTTAATTTATTATACGTGACTTTACCGAAAGAACGTATAAAGATAAAATAATAAATTTAATAATTTTTATTTAATTTATTTTTTTATCTTTATACGTGACTTTACCGAAAGAACCAAAGAGTGTGTTGTTGTTGTTCGGGAAATAATGGAAGAAACTGGAAAGAGGAAAACGTGACAAGAGAATGGCTTGACCACGACGACGACGACGATATCAGAGATCGGTGCCAGAACGACGTTGCACTACTTGAGCATATTGCCACTGCACGACGGAGAGGAACGTGGCAACAAACAAATCACGAAATGTGCAAGCGGACACCTACGGGGCTCTCTGCCCATGGATCGCGACTACGACGACGAAGACCTCTGTGCCATCCACCGACCAGCGCCCCCGCTGTCCGCTCTCGCCTGGCCGCGTGGCTTTGCGGGGGGGCGGGTGGCGTAGGCCCCCTGGCTGGAGGCGAGGTTGGAGAGGTTGGCGAGGTTGAGGGCTCTTGCGCTCGTTAACAGGTGTACAGAGCCGCTCGGAGTGGCCGGAGACCCCCCCCACCACCCCATGGTCACATCAAAAAACGCACGCGCCTCTCTGCTCGGCAGTCTCCGTCAACAGCCACCACGCGGGAAGAGGTCACGGTTCGATGCCCCCCACCACTATTATGGTCCACGGTGGGCAAAAAATAATAATATGCCCATAATTGTGTAAATAATATGCCCATAATTGCGTAAAAAAGGGGGAAAAACCCTGTTATTATATTGTGTAAATGTGTCTGCTACGGCACGTGGGTCGCGTAAACGCGGGCGTTGACGGAAGAAACGGAACAACAACAGACAACAAGAACAACAAAAACAACAACAACAAACTGAGACGTGCCCAGAGAAGGTTCAAGTTGCAAGTGTGTCTCTGTTTCGGCAGGCGAGGAGACTCAAGAGGCCAGGATGCCCATCTCTCAGGCATGACGGCAGTTGCCAAAATCACGAAAGCCGAAAACGCGACCACGGTTGCTCGCATCTGGAGAGTTTGAAGCTTGAAGCTGGCCCGTGAGAGGGGAGACTCGGGTCGGGTCAGAAGGAAACGCTGATCAGGGGGAGAGAGACAGAGAGAGAGTGAACGTGAGAGATGACGCGTCAGAGGTCATAGGAAGCTTTTGGCGTGACCCACCCCATCCCATCCCTGCCAGCCTGCTCCTTCCATGCCCAGGTCGACGCCAGGGACGAAAAAACAACACGAGGTCTGATCACGCACGAGCGGCGACATTTCTGCCCGCGGCTACGTCACCCTGTTTTAAAAGGCCCTGCGTGAAAAATATGTAATTTAATACCTATCAGAATGAAATGACATATTTACAATTAACGTTATCGTAACATCTGCCAGTGTTTTAGACACTGCGTACCTTTTTTGCCGTTGTAAAATTTCCGTAAATTCAATATTGGCGATGTAACAGTGCACTCCCTCGTGCATCATTCGATGAAGTGCCACCGTTTGTTGTTACATGTCGGTTCGCGTGCATTTACTGAGCCTCGTTTGGTGGAATGTGAAAGTGTGAATGGTTCCTCGCCACGAAAATAAGAAAGAGGGAAGCTTTCGGCGTGACCCACCCCCATCCCACCCCCTGCCAGCCTGCCCCTTCCATGCCAACGTCCACGCCAGGGACGAGAATACAACACGAGGTCTGATCACGCACGAGCGGCCACATTCCTGCCCGCGGTCACGTCACCGCGTTTCAAAAGGGCCCCGCGTGGCGTTCTTCGGCCCCCCCACCCACCCCTCCCATGGTCGAGTAGCCAGCAAACAGAAGGCGCTGAGCGTGACGTTTGGTCAACGATGTGGGGGGGGGGTGGCGATGGGTGTGGGGGGGGCTCCTCCACACGTGGGCACTGTGAGAGGCGAGAGGAGGACTCGAGGAAGTGTCCGCGTGCGATTTCCCTGCCTGCCTGGACTTGCCGCTGTCATACACCCACACGCCCCTCTGCTTCTTTACGTGGCGCAGAGAATGAATTATTGTGTGTAGTGTGTGGGGGTGGTGGATTTGTTGTTGTTGTTGTGGACGCATTCCGATCGGTGTGCCGCAGGGCGAGACTGCGTGGACTGGGTCACGAAGCCCGCGTGCCCAGCCACCGCATACGCAAGCAGCTTCGGTTTGGCCACATAGAGGTGCGGGGGGGGGGGGTTAGACGGGCACGACACGGGCTGGAAAAGAGATGTAGCTGATGCGGTACGGGAGGTCGTGCAGCCGAGTGCACTTGTCAAAGACCGGTACCAGCGGTGTCAAGATCGGCCTCTACAGAGGAGGCTCGTGAAGGACGCTGCTACTGGGCAGTTGGAGGCAGTCGCCCTCCAACAACAGCGGAGGGCCGAGGAGCGACGCTCACAACAACCAGCGGAGCGCCGGGCGGATAAAGCACAGCAACTTGGCACAGTAGGGGCGCAGATGGTGCATCTACCGGTCATCTCAGTCAGTCAACCCCATGGCACCTGGGCCTGTCCCGTAACCTCCTGTCAGCGAGCCTTCGACACTTCACGTGGCCTCAAAGTGCACCTAGCCTGGCACAGGCGTCGTAGTGACGTCGCCGCCACTTAGTGGCGAATGGCGGTTGTTGTTGTGGGGTGCAGTGCGCTCACCGCTGCGCTACAAACCCGACGACCCAGGTTCAATTCTCACTCGCAGTGACCAACACCATTGGCGATCATCTGAGCCGGTCCTGGGCCTCCCCTAGGTCGACTGAGTCTCAAATGAGTACCCGGTGCGGTGTGTAAAATCATGGCAACTGGGAAGACAAAGGCGGTCGGGCGTGGTGTTGGCCACCCACTCCCATCGTGTGCTGTGCCGGCCTTCATAGGTGCTCGCTAACAGCACTTGTCCCTACAGTCTGTTACAGGCTACACCGGGGGGGGGGGTCTTTGTCTTTGCTGTTGTTATTCATTGCGTGCGTAGTTTTTTTTGTGTGGTGGGCGTGTGCGCCCGTGTGTGTTCGCTTTCATCTCAAGTTCTCACTGCTACTGTTGCACAAGAGACGTCCCCCGGACCCGCCACCTGTATGATCTCTGGTGCACCTGTGGATCAAGCACCCATTGCAGCCGAAAGTGATTCTGACATTTGAAAAGGAAGGCAGTGGCCATCGAACTGTGTTGACCTGCTCCGCACGAAGGCATCATCTGGTGGTTAGCGTTCGGCAAACCACGTGGCCACACTCACGGCGAAGAGGGGCATGAAGGTTGGCCTGTGATTGAACGCATAAACAAGCCATATACCCTTCTGTTAAGTCGTAATAAAAAATGTATAATCATTTGCAGCCATTTGTCGGTATGTTGAACTTCTTTCGCATCGTACGTGGCCGACCGCGCTAATCGGAGGCGCGGTGGAAGGACAACTAAAATAAACACAAGCAGCAGTTCTAAAGAAATTCGTTTTCAATCCACCGCTGGGTGAAGACCTCCCCACGACGTATCGTGGGGAGGTCTTCCGTGATTCTCCAGTGATTATCCAGTGGTTCTCCATCTCTGATACACGTGGAT